GTGGCTTTCCTCTTTTTCGGTTGTAACTATATGGTCTCCATTGTATGATCATCTTATTCCATCTGTCGTCTTTCTGTCTTATGGTATGTTCAGCGAACTTCCACTTAAGCTTTGTTATCTGCGTTGATACATTGGTCACTTTTGTTTTGTTGTGGATCCAAGTAATTCTTTGCTTGTCTGTTGTCCCAAATATACATATTCTTTTACTTGTTCTATAGTTGTTTGTGCAATTGTAATTATTAATTCTTCTGGTTGGTTGGTCACAATTTTCGTTTTATTATAATTCATTTGTAGACCTATTTTTGTTCATTCAATTCATCCATCATATTTTGTAATTCTTTCCTTTTATCTGTTATTAATACAATGCCGTCTGCATATCTCAAGTGATTCAAGTATTGGCCATTTGTGTTAATACCCCGTATTTCTATTTTAATTTCCTCATAACGTCTTCCAAAGGTTTGAGTGATATAGTGTCACCCTGTCTAACTCCTCGCCGTATCTTAATAGGCTTTGTTTGTTCAACTATTTTAATTGATTTTGTTGCTTGATCATAAATATTGGAAATTAATTCCGTATATCTACAGTGTATTTTCCCATTTGGTAAAGAGTTCGTTACTGCAAAATGTTTCACCTTATCGAATGCTTTTTTAAAGTCTACAAATGCCATATACATTGGGATTTAATATTCGTTGGCCTTTTCAATTATTATTTTTATCGTAAGCAAATAGTCGCTTGTACTGAACCCTTCTCTAAAACCGGCTTGCTTTCTCGACTGATAATTATCTAACTTAGTTGATAATCTGTTTGTTAGTAGTTTAGTTAACAGTTTGTACATTACATTAAGTAGCACTATGAGCCTATAGTTTTTAGATCTTTTCTATCGCCTTTCTTAAATAGTAAGTGTTATTACCTCGTTCCATGTGGTGTGTATTTATTTTTTGTTCAATGTGTTATTTGGGGTGTTATTTGTTATTCTTGCATTGTTATTATGCATGGTTTCCTCCTTTCGAAATGGGTATGTATATTCAAATAAAGAAAGAAATCAAAGCCAGCGGGCTGTATAAAACTCTGTTTTTTAAAAAAGGTGAAATTAAACATAAATATACACATACATAAAGGTGAACGATATAGAAACAAATAATATACCGATTGCGAGAGGGGTTAGGCAAGGATGCGTCTTGTCTCCGACGCTTTTCAACGTGTACTCACAGGTCATATTCAGAAAAGCCTTATGGGAAAGAAAAGAGGGAATAAGAATTGGTGGAGAAATCATAAACACCATGAGATTTGCAGATGACACGGTAATTATGGCTGAGAGTATAGAAGATCTACAAACTTTACTAGATGCAATAAATGGTGAATGCATTCAAATGGGACTTGACATCAACACAGAATGAACAACTAACTATTGGTGGACAGCAAATAGAGAGAGTGACAAAATATAAATATCTGGGAGCTTACATCAACACAGAATTAGATCCAGACCAAGAGATCCGGGTACGAATAGAAATGGCAAGGGCAGTGTTCTTAAAATTCAAACAATTGTTCTGTGACAAAAATCTGAATATTGCGCTGAGACTGAGGTTTATTGAATGTTACGTCTGGTCGCAATTATTGTACGGGGTAGAAACATGGACACTAAAAGCGCAAATAGTTAAAAATATTGAAGCCTTTGAACTTTGGATATACCGGAGAATGTTGAGAATCCCATGGAATGCCAGGGTCACCAATGAGGAAGTGCTGAGAAGAATGGGTCGAGTCAAAAAATTGTTGAGAACGATAAAAGTACGCAAGACTGCATACCTCGGACACATACTAAGAAATAATAAATATAGTCTTCTGCAAGTCATGGCTGCGAAATATTCGAGACTGGACAAACATGACTGTAGACGAATTATTCCACGTTGCAAAAGACAGAGAAGCTTTTAAAAATGTGGTCGCCAACCTCCGTTAATGGGGACGGCATAGGAAGAAGAAGAATACACATACAATTACACATATATATACACATACAAATAACCACATACAATTATAATTAAACAAGAATATATTACTTAAAAGAAGAAGAATATAGTACAAACTTAAATATTAGTTAGTATGAAACTCCAAAAAACCATAATCAAAACAAAACAAAGAAGTCGATAAATAGGTTTTAAGAACACTGAAAAATCAAAAGAAAAACCTTCCATAGCCGCAAACATACTATACATAAAAAGATAAAAGACAAATTAATAATCTTACAAAAAAAATCAACCTAAATAAGGATATAATATTTTAACGTTGTAAAAACAAATTAAGAATGCGGTGCATACAAATAATTAATAAGTACAATTATTATTAAAAAACATACAAGAAATAAAATCGGTGTTAACAAAATACAAAAAAATATACAATACAGTAAATACACCAAAACAAATGCAAAATATCCAATTGACAATATTCAACCGCGATCGCGGCACAACTGCGATGAAGTTCCAAACAAATATCAAATAAATATACCAAGTGCACGTACTTGATATATGCAGCAACATAGATTAATGGTGTATTGTTCCTTACCCAATGAAAAGATAGCCCCAACGCTATCGCAAATTATGTCTTCAGCGACACTGGAACCACAAAATTCATAATGCACATTCTTTGACGTTTCTCTCGGTCGACAGACCGATGCTGAGTCAGGTATTCTTAACCAAAACACCCATACACATGTATCCGGGTTTAAAGATAAAGCTCGACTCTTTTGTATATGGAATTCAAACCCTTATCTTAGGTACACACACACACACATATAGTGATATTTGGCAGATGGCTTCTTCTTGAAAATTAGTTCTTAAAACAGCTGAATGAAACGGCAAATCTGGTATAAATATTCTACGGGGAGAATCAAAACGGCTGTTTATATTTAATAAATGTTTATGTATCGTTGCGAAACTGCAACACTAATATGAATCAGCGTTTTAGGGATTAGGGTTTAGGGGATCTCTCCTTATATATGTGGTTGGGATCTCGTGTACTATGATGTGGTCGGGATCACTCCTTATATTATGTGATCGGGATCTCTTGTACTATGATTAGAATGTGGTCGGGATCCCTCGTACTGTGATATGATCGGGATCTCTCTTTATATATCTACCAATCACACATGCCAACCAAAAAAAATACTAACAAAACCTCTAAAAAACGGGCTAGAAGTGCTCATTTTCTCATTCGAGTAATAAGACTGCTCAGCCTAGAGGCTCTAGCACTCTTAATGAAGCTTAATGCTCAGATACACAAAACAAATAAAGACGACAACAAAAACAAGACCACGAGATTAAAGCGCCGCACACTGGTCTGAGCTTTACCCAGAGAAGACTTTCCATGAAGGTTTTATTTTCCAAGACTTTGACATATCATGTCAAATATAGTAGCCTCTCATAGCGCATAACTTTTGAGAATGTTATGGACGAGTGCTTGGAGAGTATTGGGGCTCAGACAATTCGCCTTTGAATGTTTCTGCGGGTATGCACCTAAATCTCATTCAGATCGAGAATTACTATTGTGTGTGTGTACTTCAGAAATGCAGAGATCAGCAAAAATATGTCTTCCTATGCTTTATAGATTACCAGAAAGCATTCGATTGTGTTAATCATTCAGAATTAATAAGATTGCTCCAGGAACGTTCGACAGATGAGAATGACCTTAAAATCACAAAGAACCTTTATATGAATCAAGTGGCATCTGTGAGAATAGGACTGGAATCTACATCATATTTCTCAATTGAAAAAGGTGTACGACAGAGTTGTGTTCTGTCACCCCTCCTTTTTATTCTTTACTCTGAAACCATTTTCGATAGAGCCTTAAGTGACACTGAAGATGGAATCAAAATCAATGGAGAGACTATTAGTAATCTTCGCTATGCTGATGATACAGTCATAATAGCTGATAGCCAAAAAGCGCTACAACGACTAATAGATAAAATAAATACTGAAGGAGAACGACTGGGCTTGAAGATTAATATAGACAAGACGAAGGTAATGGTGGTTAGTAGAAATATGCAATTGAATATAAGAGTAAACAGCAAAAACATCCAAAAGGTCCCCAAGTTCAGATATCTTGGTAGTTGGATAACTGAAGATCTAGATTTAGACATAGAGATACGTAGCAGGATTGAGCAAGCCAGAACAGCATTTACTAATATGAGAATCTTGCTAAGCAACAGCAGCCTCAACTTAATGCTTCGATATCGCTTTGTAAAATGTTACATTTACTCCATACTGCTATATGGCGTAGAAACCTGGACCATAAAGGCCAATGTGATAAACCGATTGGAGGCCTTTGAAATGTGGGCATTTAGAAGACTACTTAAAATTACCTGGACAGATCACACAACAAATGTCGAAGTATTAAATCGAATGGGCAGAAACCGAGAATTGCTGCCAATAATAAAAAGAAGAAAATCTGCTTATCTGGGTCATATATTTCGAAATTTCAAGTACCAGTTCTTAAAGCTTATTATGGAAGGGAAGATAGAAAGAAAACGAGGCATCGAGAGAAAGAAATACTCATGGCTTAAAAACATACGGGATTGGACAAATCTCGATGCCCATGCACTTTTTAGAGCCACACAAGATCGAGAGGAGTATACCAGAATTGTTGCCAACATCAACTAATTGGATAGGCCACAATAAGAAGAAGTGTGTGTGTATGTGTGTATGTATGGGAGAGAGAGAGAAAGAGTGTATGTGTGTGAGTGTGTGTCTGTCTGGGTGTACTTGTATGCTGTCTGGGTTATTATTTTGTATTCACATCAATGCGTTTGGACGTATTGGTGCGAATACAAAACTAAATACTAAATATAACTACAAAACTAAATATACTTGAGTTTTTGTTTTATATCTACTGTAATATTTTTAGTTATTATTCATAAACCCCTTCTATAGATATTTTAAATTAAATTTTTAATTTTTATATTATTAAAATTATATAAAAAATAATAACTCATTTAATAAATTTATTTTTAGATACCTATAAGCTGAAGAAAACAATGAGTGTAAGTGAATACTTGGAAATTAACCAGTTCGAATTATAAAATTTTCTAAAAAATCATTGTAGAATAATTTATAAAATAAAATATTGGCAAAGTAATGTTTTTATATATTTTTTAAGGTTATTACAAAAAGTTTTTAGCCATTATACTTTGATTAAAAATTATAGATTTTAAAATTTTATGACACAGCTGGTAATCTTTAGCATAAACCAATGACCACAACTTTCAAAATTATTTCAAATCTAATTAGTTAAAATGGCTGAATGCTCATAAATGCTAATGAAATTAGCTGAATGCTCATAGGACTGCCAAAAAATATATCAAAGGGCTAATCCTTATTTCATTCTCTTTTTAAAGATATTTTTATAATCTACTGGAAAATATTGAAAACAATATTTTGAACCCTTTAAAAACAATTATTTATGAAGTTGTAACATTGCAGTTATAAACATTTAGAGCTGCAGCGCCCCTTATGGACTCTACAAATTTCTAATTTGCAATTTATTGTAGCTAGCTTCGAGGCGAAGATTTAAAAAAAAAGAGTTTTGTACGACAAATAGGAGCCGAGTTAGAATTTTTTTTTTAATCACAGAGGCTTTAATAATAACAATTAAGAAACGAATCATTTACTACTTAAAAACCTATATTTTTAAATATTTGTATTGTTCTTAAATTAAAATCATTATTTATTGTTAAAAATGATTTCTCCATCGATTCCTTAACGCTTTTGCCATCAATGTTAGGAGTGACATTAAGAATCTAAGCGATATATACCACTTCTTACTTAAATTAGATACCAAGAACAATACAACATCAGAGATAACTAACTTGACTGATATATCCATTAACAACTAACCTACTTAATAATAATTTTCATTAACTAAAAAATATAACATTCCCTTGCTTTTCTTAGATATATCTCAATAAGATATTATTATAATAGTACATGAACAAAATAATATAATTAAAAAATAATTTTAATTAAGAAAATCTAAAATATTTCCCCAAACTGGAATTTAAATTTATTTGGTTTTTCCAATGAAACTTAACAACATAAAGATTTAAAGGTCCTACTGGAATTGTCCGCATATGCGTTCTGATTCTGAACAGAACCTTACATTTAAACTTTCTAACAATCAAATATTTGCTTATTGCCGACAATTAAAAGAATTACTTCCTTTTAAATGTAGTTACATCGGGTTTTTCGATTAACCTTGGGTAAACCTTTGCATTTCAAGTTCAAAGCTACCATACATTTCCAACGTAAGAAAAAACTTTTTTTGCACATAGTAACAAAAAACACCACTATGTTGTTACTAGTTAAGTTTTTTAACATCCTAACTCGACAATTCTAAGTTACCGTAAGATCAAATGTTTTTTAATAGATAATATATGGTAGCTAATTATAATTTATTCTCTTTCAACCATGAAGAAGCCAAATTAATTCTCTTTGGCGAAAACGTTCGGCGAAACAATTGATACTCATTAGAGTCTTTCTTGCAGATGTCCCCAATATTTAAGACTTTATTATACATTATATATATATATATATATATATATATATATATATATATATATATACATATTTTACAATATCTGTTTGTCCTTATCCATATACTGTTTAGAATCTTGACAAAGGCAAGGGTTTCCTGCCGAAACGTTGATTGCTATTGAAAATAAAATCTAGTTCCACATGTAATATATCTTTATTGAACCTAAACCCAAGAAACATTAATTTTATATTATATATATATATATATATATATATATATATATATATATATATATATATATATCTGTCCAAAAGTTTGGAATACGTACAAATATCTATCTAATATATCTACGCCCATGGTGGTTTTAAAATTGTTGTTGATGTTCTTTCTAGAGCGTTTCTAAATGAAAATGATAAAAAATTTGAATCGTTTTTGTATGATTTTGGTCACATTCAACTGATTATCGTATTAACACAATATTTCAATCTTTGTTTAAATTTGAATTGAGCCGTTTAAAAATGCCTAGAAACGTGATATCTCATTTTGACAGATCTAGAGTAATTGTTTTGTTACAACAAGGCTTTAGTCAAAGTTATATCTCCATTATTGTTGAAGTTACTCAGAGCGCTGTATCGAAAATTTAAAACAAACTCCAAGATACAAATGACGTCAAGGATCGTCCCAGAAGTGGTAGAAGTCAATGCAGTAAATTTGTATCGTAGAACACCGCTACGTGTTCCTAAACTAACCTACCAACACAAAATAGTAAGGTTGCAATGGGCTAGAGAAATGGTGCATCATGGTTCTAACTGGAATAACGTAATGTTCTCTGAAGAGTCAAAAATTGGCTTGGTATCTGATTCGCGAAGAACACTGGTTTGGAGGATCCCAGGACGACAAGCCCGACTAGAAACAGCCCAAGCGAGTGTCTTATTTGAAGGTGGCAGTATTATGGTTTGGGGTGGAATTATGAGTGCTACACGTATGCCACTGCTGGTTCTGGAGAGAAGAGTCACTGGTGCTGTGTACATCGAGCAAGTTTTAAATCCTATTGTACGTTTATTCCGAGGGGCAGTAGGTGAAGAATTTGTGTTTATGCATGACAAGGCACCTCCTCATCAAACAGTAGCAGTACAAAATTTTCTGGAAGAAGAAGGAATATCTCCATTACAGTGACCCTCGAATTCCTTCGACATGAACGTTATTGAACATGCTTGGGACATTCTCAAAACAAGCATTAAGAAGCGAAACAATCCCATATTACACTTCGAGAACTTAAAGATGCTGCTCATGAAGAATGGGAGAGAATTCCGCAAGCCCAGCTCGACCAGTTAATCGGCAGCATGCCAAATCGCCTACAGGCATACATACAGGCCAATGGAAGAAATACTAGTTATTAGTTTTATTAAAAATTATTTTTTTCTATACTAATTTATTTTTAAATGCTAGTTGTACATTGTAAGTTTTTAACTCCAAGAGAATAAATATTTTTTTTTGCATATCGTTTATCTGGTTTTGAGATTTATTTAGTATTGTTGAGAATTTAAACAAAATGATGTTTTCCTATTTAGAAGAGTTTATATATAAAAATCAATAAAACGATTAAATATTCCAATATTCCAAACTTTTGGACATATTTATATATACAGTGTGTTTCAAAAAGGTGTGTTATAAACGAAATCACGCATTTCGGGGACAAAAATAAATTGATTAAATCTAACTTACCTTCGAACAAAAGTGTACACAAAAAAAGTTACAGCTCTTTGAAGTTACAAAATAAAAACTGTTTTTTTTTGCATTATCTCCTAAATTACTTAACATTTTGTAATAAAAATGGACACGTTACTTTCTTGTTCTAAAAGCATTTTTCATAAAAAAGAAACAACACAATCTAAGCGCACAGAAAAATTTTAAGGGGGATGTGCAGCCCTAAATCTCCCCAAACTTTTGAGTACGTTCAAATCAAATGAATTTTGTGGCATCATTAGTTTAACACATTATTTTTAAAAAAAATTTGCCTCCTATCACTATTTCCAAAAAACAGTTTTTATTAAGTTACGGCCCTTTTCATTAACCTTTAAAATATTACGTGCAACTAAATAAAGGGCTTAAATGAATTAACAAGTACAAGAAATGTCGATAACCTCTATAAATATGATATTAGAATAAATGTTCAAAATGACTAAAATTTTCTTCAATACACATTCGGTATCGTTTCAATAAGGAAAACCGAATGCACTGAAAAATCATATTTTTTTGACGAAATTGATTTGCAGCTTCAATTATTCTAACTCTCAATTGTTGTTTGTCCTCTACTGTTACAGAATACAGTTTCTCTTTCATAAAACTCCAAAAGTAAAAGTCCATGGGGTTAAGACCTGGACGTCTAGGTGGCCAAGAAATAGGTGCGTCACGACCCCTTCCAATTCACCGTCCTGGATACTGCCTGCAAAAGTCATTTACGAACTTCGTTACTGTAATGCGGTGGAGCTCCATCTTGTAGAAACCACATATTTTGCCTTATTGCAATATTCATTTCTTCCAAATACTCTTGTAAATCGTTTGCCAATAACTTCAAATAATTATTACCATTTAAATTGTTGGGAAGAAATACTGAGCCTATTAGATTGTTATCCATAATTTCTGCCGAAACATTAATTTTGAAAGTCGTTTGGTGATGAGTCGTTTTTTTGGCGTGAGGATTTTCGTCGGCTCAAATAAGCTCGTTATGATGGTTTGTTATTCCATTTCTATTGAAGGCAGCCTCGTTGGTAAACAAAATATTTCTAATAAAATTACCATTTCTAGTGTTTTACATTAACAACCAATCCAATCCAATATTCTTCAACCCATAACTCTTCAACCGTTGTTAAGTGATATGGTTTAAGCAGCTGATCCTTTAAACGCCTCCAAACACTTACGTAAGGAACATTTAGTTGAGCAGCTATTACCCTTGTACTTTTTCCAGGGACTTCTTCAATGATTTCTAAAATGTCTTCATCAGTTGCATCCATTATTGGACGACCACTATTGCCAGCAACTCGCGGTTGGAATGTATCTGTTTCCCGTAAACGACGATCAATGGTCAGAAATAATCGTCTATCGAGTGTATTTCGATTGGGGTATTTTATTGCATAACGCCTTGCGGCTACTGCACTATTTCCTTGACATTCATCTACGATATTCCCGATAGTTTATTGAAATCCTAATTTAATCTGATCCAACTTACTCAAAGTTAAATGCATATCTGCCATTTCCTGAAATGTGTAGGCCATTATATTATCAAAATTTTTAATATTAGTCTAATATTAGTCTTAATATTAGTTTAATATTTTTTAATATTATTTAATATTTTTAATATTCACACAATAAATGATAGCTTCAAATTATTGATGGAACTGTTTGTAATTAAAAATTTAAGTAAAAATCCTTTGTAATAGGTATATATTTTAGGCCCAAACGGGCTAAGTTAAAAAGACAAAACGTTTTCGGAAACCATGTTCCATCATCAGTGTCTAGGAATATATGAATGTAGCCACCAAGATTAAATATGTGGGTAAAAACCCGATAACAGATGTTTAATTACATTTATTTTTAAAATTATATAGTTATAATGATTTAGGATTATAGAGTTACCGATGGATTAGGTAACATGGCAACATATGACTCCACGTTGAAGTTGCTAGTCCTGAGACGGTATGTCTTCGAGGACTGTATGTCTTTGAGTTGCACTCATACATGGTATACAGCCAACTACAGGAACGTAGATTCCTTGTGGATGTTTGTAATTATTTTATCTGTAGAAACTAATTGTAATTTTATGGCCAACTAGGAAAAAACTAGTTTTTCGAAAAAGTGATAAGAGGCAAAAAAGTTTTAAAAATAATGTGTTAAACTAATGATGTCACAAAATTAATTTGATTTGAACGTACTCAAAAGTTTGGGGGGATTTAGAGCTGCACAGCCCCCCTTAAAATTTTTCTGTGCGCTTAGATTTTGTTGTTTCTTTTTTATGAAAAATGCTTTCATAACAAGAAATTAATGTGTCAATTTTTATAACAAAATGTCAAGTAGTTTAGGAGATAATGCAAAAAAAAGAATTTTTATTTTCTAACTTCAAAGCGCTGTAACTTTTTTTGTGCACACTTTTGTACTAAGGTAAGTTGGATTTAATCAATTTATTTTTTTTTGCCCGAAATGCGTGATTTATTTATGACATACCTTTTTAAAACACCCTGTATATTATATATATATATAGTAAATAAATAACTAATATAAAATAAACTATAACACTCAATTCTTTATAGCAATTACTTAAATATAGGCAACTTTCATTACAAGGTTACCTCTACATTATAATTTGTCCATATGAGTGTGAACCAGTCACTATTTAATAGTATAGTAATAATATTAACATTGTAATTGATTCATAGAATCCTTTACAAATTACAGATCTAAGTGTATGAAGCTTAGACTGTTGGAAATTATCTAATTGTTATTCACCTGTTGGCAAAAATTTCTTCAGCCACAATGTTTAACATAAATTTAAATATAAGAGTTTGGATGAAATTCTCCTGTTTGTTTGTTTTTAGACGGGCTAATGCGAGTGATTGTTATTACTATATCAGTCTCTTTCATTGGATTGTCTCTTACAAGCGGGCTGTCATCCAAAGCTCATTAACTTTTAAATAAACCGCTCAATTATTTGAGGTGGTACCTCTGACCTTGCTGTTCTGTTGAAATAATTTCAACCTCAAGGTTGGCTGTCTTTTCGTAGATCTGTGTCAGTCTGTTCAATCTAACGCCATTTTCCTGGTAGCAGGTGTAAGGCTTAGACCGGTAACTTCATTCTTTTACACTTATTTTATTTTTAAATTATATTAACATCTTTTAATAATGCTACCAAAAGTTAAAATTAAAATTTAATAATTATCTATTGTTGGAAGTTAATCGTTGATTTTCTTAGTTCTTTGCATCAACTACGTTATAATTTAACATATATTTTTTATACTTTTGACCACATGGTCACTCATTGTGCTAATTTTTTAATAAGTCACTAAATGTTGTTAGTAAATTAAATGTTTATACATTTCTACTTTATATTGTCCATTTATTCAAGTTTAATTCATAAGCTTGTTAACATCTTTGACTGCTACATGTCTTTTTAAGGTAACACCTGTAACATCTTTTCCATGATTGTGTGGTTCTTATATTATACTTTTTAGAATGAACTGATGATGCTTTCAGAATACGAAAGCGAAACGTTTTCAAAATAGATAGAGTGGCACATCAACTTTGTCTTTCATTTCTCCACCTACAAATTGACCGATATAAGAGCCCACCACTCTGTTGAGTGATCCTTTTATATATATATATATATATATATAATATATATATATATATATATATATATATATATATATATATTTATATATATATATATATATATATATATATATATGTATATATATATATATATATATATATATATATATATATATATATGTATATATATATGTATATGTATGTATAAACAAGAAATACTGGATATTAGTGACTGTCGATATCAACAAACAACACAGTTTATTAGGGATGCAGTCAGAATATTGGCCAGGATGTTCAAAAAAACACAGCTTTGACTTTTTGTCTAGCTTTCGGAATGGTTTTATTCCTTTTTCAAGACATAGTCGTTGAGATTATTTGTAAAAGCATTGACACTCAACATTTATAACACACATTAAAATATAAAAACTATAAAATCATGGACAAAACACATGTTAAAATTATGGTAAAACTTTGTTTATGGCATGTTTTACTTTTGTGTTTTAACTAATATGCGCAGAGAATAATAATATAGTTGGAGTTAAAACACAACAGTAAAACATGCCATAAACAAAGTTTTACCATCTTTACCCTAAATTTTAAAATTTATTTTGTACATGATTTTATAGTTTTTGTATTTTAATGTGTGTTATATATGTTGAATGTCAATGCTTTTACAAATAATCTCAACGACTATGTCTTGAAAAAGGAATAAAATCATTCCGAAAGCTAGACAAAAAGTCAAAGGAGTGTGTTTTTTAACATTGTTATATATTTATACCAATCACCAAATTACCATTGCCATACGACCCGGTTATACATAGGTTGCGCAATATTTTAACAAATGAACTTGAAACCCGCCCCTGAAACAATTCTTTGACCTCGGTTATCACAACGTCACTATCAGCCAATTGAGTTAATGGTAAAATACTCTTTTATTTTCAAAAATTGATGCATAAGGAAAGTGTTTGACGGTACATGCTTATCGTGTTATTATAACCAAAATGTTACTTTGTTTATCGTTCATACTTTGTGTTTTAAATTGTTTTTGTTTAAGTGTTTATGGTGACGAAGCTTTTTCAAATGAGTTAGGTATGTAACTAGTGTATTTAATCTGTTAAAGTTTATATATTTGATCACAAATAATTATAAATAAAAAAGTCTATTTAGTCCAAACATAAATGAACAAAGGAAAAAGAAACATTAACATAAATCTGAAATATTTCTATTATTTATGCAGTATCTTAGACAGCCTAACTGAAGTTAGCTGAAATTAACATTGTCTTACTTACAAAAGAAATAAAGCACAAACATTTAAAGAAAAATTAAAGAAAACATTCACATTCATGATTTAAAAATTTAAAGATAATTTTAAAGCAAAACAAACTTATAAGATTTATAAAAATAAAATGCAGTACGCAATGTAATGGAATATACAAAAATAAGAAAGATTGTGGACAAACATAGCCAGAAACTACGTAAAATATTAAATTTAGCCAACAAAAGAAGAGAGGTTCAAAGGAGTAGTGATGCGCATTATAAGATGATGTTTCCAGTTAGCATCTCTAGCATCTCCTACTCAATTCCTATCCTCACCTCCACGAAGTGTGGTCTTGACTACACAGGTGGACCCCGGAAACCTGAGCAACCTTGTTGGAGATTGGGTAACCAACCCCAATGGAAGGCAGGGTCAGGGAGAACGAGGAAGGGAGAACATTGTCCTCCGAAAAGGAGGTTTTGCTACGGACTAGCGACCCATACAAGTAAAAAAAAATATTGCTACGAAACGAATATTATTGCCTCGAAATAAAAAAAATTATAAAAAAAACGACAAAAGCTACGGACAAAGGATATTCTATTAGGAACATGGAATGTATTAAGTTGGTACAGATCTGGAATTGCCACGACAGCGATAAAACAACTAGAAAACTTGAACTATGATATAGTAGCCATTCAGGAGATGAGATGGACAGGGTCTGGAACAATACACATGGAGAAGTCATTAGTACTGTGGTCTGGACATGAAACTCGACATGAAAGAGGATATGGCTTTGTAATAAATGAAAGACTACAATCAGAGTTATATTAGACTTTAAACCAATAAACGAACGAATCTGCATCATAAGATTGAGAGGTTAATGGTCCAGTTTAATTATATTTTCAGTGTATGCACCAACCGAAGACGCATTAGATGATAAAAATGAATTCTACGACTCTCTAAATCAACTTTCCACAGAAGCTCCTAACCGCGATATTGCTGCAACTTAGCCATCAAAAGCATCCAGTTCGCTAGAAAAAAGATCCACAAGGCAACATGGAGATCAAACGATGGAAGAATAACTAATCAAATAGATCACGTATTGATTGATGGGAGACATTCTAGCAGCATAATAATAGGTGTAAGAACTACGATAGGGCCGGACAGCGACACAGACCATTTTCTCGTAAAGGCCAAGCTCAGAACAAAAATTTCAACACAAACAATAGATAAACACACTAAGATCGAACGATGGAATGTGGCGAAGCTGAAAGAAGAAAATAATCAAAGACAGTACCGAGTAGAATTAACAAATAGGTTTCAGGTTTTGGAAATAAATGAAAATGAAAGTAAAGATATAGATCAGCGATGGAACTCCATAAAAACAACTATTACAGAAACAGCAGAGAAATCTATCGAAAGAACTAAAAAAAAAGAAAATATGGTTCGACGGCGAATGTGAAAGAACTCTAAAAGAAGCAAATAAAAGAAGAATTGATTATCTGTCGAATCCATTAAAAGAAAAACGTATTTTATTCCACAGAGAGAGAGCCGCAGCTAGAAGAACACTTAGACAAAAAAAGAGACAATATCTGCAGCAACAAATTGAAAAATTAGGAGGAGAACACAGAGGAAATCAAAGTAAAAATTTCTACAGAGAGGTAAGACAATATAAGAGAGGCTCGTATATAAGCACACCCAACTTCGTAAGAGATAAAAATGGAGAAATGCTGGCTGCCGAAAACAAAATAATAGAAAGATGGGCTGAATATTTTGAAGAGCTCCTGAATATACAGAATTTCACTGATGAAAACAATGAAAATTATGGAAACAACGGAGAACATGAGTATCAAACGGTCGAATTAGAAATACTCCCACCAAGCATGGAAGAAATTACGCCTGCCATAAAAACGCTTAAAAACGATAAATATCCTGGTCTAGACAATATTGATGCTGAGCTAGTTAAAACAGGCGGTCATGAACTCATAAGTAAAATCCATCAACAAATAGAAACAGCATACTTACAAGAAATAATGCTGAAAGAATAGTGTGGTAGTATTTATTGTACCAATACACAAGAAAGGAAAAAAGAAATCATGCATGAATTATAGAGGAATCTCACTAATCAACATTACATGTAAAATATTGGCTTCTATATTATTAAAAAGATTAGTACCATACGCCGAAGAAATAGTTGGTGACAACCAGTGTGGTTTCAGGCCTGGCAGATCGACTATTGATCAAATATTTACAATAAGACAAATTCTTGAAAAGTATTGGGAATAAAATCACGACGTGCATCAGATTTTTATAGACTTCAAACAGGCTTATGATTCAATTAATCGTGCAACATTATGGAAGGCAATGATCGAGCTCGGCGTACCCAAGAAACTAGCTGCGGTAACACAAATGTGTGTAAGTAACTCTTTTGTACAAGTTAAAATAGGGGGGAAAATATTAAATGCTTTCTGCGTAAATTCTGGACTGAAACAGAGAGATCCGTTGTCCCCATTGTTGTTTAACCTGGTCTTAGAATATGTCATGCGAAAAATATATTCAAAAATCAAACCAGACATAACTGCTCGGGGAGCAAAAATCATAATTGCCTTTGCCGATGACGGAGGCGCAGTAGCACAATCAACATTAGAAATTAAGGATATTTTCTCGAGCTTTGAAGAAGCTGCGTTAAACATCGGTCTAAAAATAAATGAAGACAAAACAAAATACATGGTCGTCTCAAAACAAGAACAACGGCGAATAAGGCAAAACATTAGTATAAATGATCACAACTTCGAAATGGTTCTAGAATTTAAATAACTAGGAGCAATAATCACAAATGACAACAAATTATAGCGAGAAGTTGAAACGAGAATAATGGCAGAAAACAGATCTTTCTTTGCAATGCAACATCTAATGAATTCAAAACTTCTTTCACGAGGTACAAAAATCCGGATATATAAGAACATAATACGACCAGCAGTCGCGTATAGAAGCGAAACATGGACGCTAACAAAGAGAGAAGTAAATAAATTGCTGGTGTGGGAACGTAAAATTTTTCGAATGATATATGGCTCTTGCAGAGACAGCGTGACAAACGAATGGAGGGGCAGATACTATAACGAGCTAGAGTCTCTATTCGGAAAAGAAAATCTAGTCAGATATATAAAGGCCAATAGACTCAGATGGGCACGGCATGTGATACGCAGTGACGACAATCGCCTTATAAACAATGTGTTCTGGAAAAGGCCAGATGGAAGAAGGTCTGTAGGGCGGCCTAGAAAAAGGTGAAAAGATGCAGTCAAAGAAGATCTAGAGAAAATAGAAGTGCAACAATGGGAACTGGCACAGGACCGACAAACATGGAAGGCAATAGTAAACGCGGCAAAGACTCACGAAGAGTTGTAGCGCCATTGATGATGATGATAATGAATAATAAAAGAACGATTTTTAGATATGTGAATACGAAAAAGCCAGGCAGGAATATATTTTCAAAAATCAGGTTAAAGTACTTGTATAAACGAATCGCCTGACAGATCGGATGTTGGTACTATCAAATATTCTGGATGTATGTTAGGCAGAAATCATTGCAGATATTGATCTTGTGACCACAGTAGGAGATGAATTCGTAAATATAAAACCAAAGTGATAATATAGAGATATATCTTATAATCTAAATTATTCATCGTTTTAATAAAAAGGTTAATACCTCTGTAATTTTAAAGTAAAGCTAAAACCAAGTATTGGCAATTACCATATTTCTTTTCTTGACAAAATTCTATGAGCTTTTTCCCTCTCTCGTTTCTAGTTCCTAGTCCGAACTGTCCAACTATATTTTCAACTTACTACCTACTAAAATTTTTGCATTAAAATCTTCTAAATGGTAAGTAATATCTCTAGATTTTGTTAACTTGATTTTATTGTGCAATTCTGAATAAAACTTTTCGATCTAATCTTCGGTCTTATCACCTGTGGGAGCATAGACTTGGATCATATTAATATTACAGTTTCGTGCTTGAATTTTTCTCATTATTATTCTGTCAGATTTTAAACACATCTAGCACTGATCAGTTTTGTCTCCTCTAGTGTAATAAATATTTTGGTTATTTTTTGATATCTTTCCCTTCCCCCTCATTGTACATCGCTAACCTTAAGTATATCTATATTTAGCCTATTTTTCTCTTTATTAATATTATGTAGTTTTCCAGACTGATGCATCAGATAGCTTTTTTTATATGAGACGGTTGAGTATTTCTTTTTTTGTTTTTGTGGGAGGGTTTCGCATGTTGACGACCGAGGAGACCTTGCGTTCTGATAGTTGTCCTTCCCTGCCGGATTTTGGTCTCCGATTATCATAATCAATAATATCTCTTGCGAAAATAATGAGCCATTATAATTTATACTAGATATGTCATCACTAGGACATGTTGACCACTTTCTTGGTTCTTTTGCCTTTTGCCGAGACCAATTTCATAGTCTCAGGACAACAGAGTGTCCTTCCACTTACTAGCTCATTCGCCCTTAGCCGTTGGCCAGTAAATGGTGGATTGCTTATTCCGGCAAACACTCAGACGTCAGAGCCTCGTTGGTTATCTAGCAGGATGTACCAGAAGACCATGATCTAGATCATAATACAAGCAGGTGAGATTGACATTTAAATAGAAGTGGCACATGTTGCGCTTCACTATCCCACTACATCACAATCATAAAAGGGCCCAAATAAGACAATTCCTATAAAGAATGCCGCGTTTTTTGTCGCCATACGACAGGCGACGAAAAAACGTGCATAAAGGCAGCTTTATATTGCTCAGCAATCTGCACAGGTTTTCAGCAGTGACTTGATCTACCACTATTTGCTGATTATAATTAACTTCTTCGACATCGCTTCTGGTGATACTGTATTTAGCCTATGAGACAAGATTATTTTTTATACTTACTTGGTTTTAATCTTATCTCTTGTCAGACACGTGAGTATATAGTTATTGCCTACAAAATTTAGCGTGTTGTTACTGCAATATGTATTTTATTACTTTTATATTATTAGTTAACGACGCTTAAGTGGAACTGGGCAGGGCACTTAGCTAGAACACAAGATGGACGGTAGACAAGACGTATTATGGAATGGAGGCCCAGAAATTATAAAAGAAGCCGAGGACGACCACCGACTAGATGGACCGATGACATTAAACGTGTAGCGGGAAACTGGATACAAGCGGCCCAGTGTAGAGAACACTGGAAAGAACTGAGGGAGGCCTATGTCCAGCAGTGGACGCGATTGGCTGATTGATGATGATGATATTATTAGTTAGTGTTAACGTCATCTTATTTAAATTTTTTCTTTTTTAGAGTATACTTACCTAGAACCTCCATATTTTTATAAGGACTTACAATCCATTTTGAAGTTCTTCGAAGATCCCCAAGTAAGTATTTATTGCATTATAATATATATTGCATAAAAAATAATATTTGTAACTACATATTAGACTACATATCTCTATGGATTTGGCTACCTTTTTCATTTTACTAGGCCTGTATTTTTAGTACAGATTTACACCCGGCGTACGTGAACTTTTGAAGAGTTATCACCAGCAAAAAGTTAAGACTGATGGCCTTAACACAACTGGTCAAGGTAAAAGACATCCTTTGTTCGTTATAGAAGGTCTGCCTGGATCAGGTAAATATAGTTTTTTTGTTCACTTTGGTAGGCTAACCGTTTTTAAAAAATAGCGTTTTCGAGTAATTTCCATTTAAAACTTTTAGAAAAAAATTCAAATTACTTCAATTTTAATTATATTTGAAATATGTATTTTAAACAAAAAACACAATAGAAGCTATTTGAAAACTTACTTGAACTTTTTCTATTTCCTATACTTTGTTTTCCTGTACAGGACAAATACAGTTACTGATGACCACAACTGGTGCTCACGGGCTTGTCTTACCCACCAATATTCCTCTTTTTCGCCATGTATTAAGCTTTGTCTTTTCTCATTTTCTTTAGTTAGTATGATGCACATTATTGCTTTCTATACCACCTTCCACTTGCCTTTTACCTGGACTCTGGATCTCCCTCTGGTTTGTTTAAAGGATTTTAATATTTGGCTTTTGCTTGCTTAGGCCGCGTGTTTGCGCTCTTAAGCAAATCTCGGAACTTTGGACAATTATTTAAATCACATCTGTAATATCTTTGTATTTTTATTTATGATATTAATGGCATTAGATAGTACGATTTTCATAATTTATTTAATCCTTGCGTTAGGTCAGAAATATACTGTATGGCAAAAAAATCGCCACCCTATAAAATTTGCGAAAATAAAGTTTATTTGAAGTTGAAAACATTTAATTAAACAGTAATTTAACTTTTCAAACGTGGATTTCGACTACGTGAGTAATTAAGGTATGATTGTTGATCTACAGTAGATGTTGCTCAAATTATTGCATTGCTAGAAGACGGAAGAAATCAAGTTTATATATCAGAAACTTTAGGTATTCTGAGAACTATAGTACGGAGAGCTTTCCATTGGTTTATAAAGACTGGTTCCGTTCGTAAAAGAGTTACCCGCAAAGAGATTATCGTTTTATTGTGATGGAAGTTTCATGAATTCACTATTCCACTGAAATTGCTGCAAAAAACCGTCTGCAGGAGGTTTATAAGAGTTAATGCAAGTGAGAGAACGGTTAGAAGACGCCTTAATAAAAAAACTAATAGCAAGCAGGCCAACTATTAACAGTGAGAATCGATTAATTTTTGCTCGACATCAACACTGGAATATACAGGATTGGGGAATTCTCTTAACTGATGAATGGCGGGTCTGTTTGAAGTCTGACGATAGCCGATAAAGGGTTTGGAAATGGAGAAATGAAAGATATGACAAGTTTGTACGTCTATGAAAAGAAAATTTCGCGGCGGTGGTATCATGGCTTAGGCTGGAATCTCATTTGAAGCTCGAACTAAACTTATTTTCATTAATTGCCCCCTGAAAGCTCACCAAGAGGATATTTTGACAGAAGCAGTATCAGATTTTTCGTCTGCATGGTAATGCATGGCCGCATACTGCAAGAATCCTAACAAATTACTCGGAGGAAGTACAGATTAATACTCTAGTATTAGGTGGCCAGTATACAGCCCTGATCTGAATATCATCGAACATCTTTGGGGTGAATTTCAGCGTAGCATTAGAATTCAACCAGGCTAGTCAGAAAGTCTTGCAGAACACCAAGACATGCTACGTAAATAATATGAACGTATTCCTCAAGTTTTTATTCAAAATGTTTTCCTTTCCCTTCCAAATCGTATGCAAACGGTTATTAATATTTTAGGGCATAATACCTGCTATTAGAAAATTTTGTTCAAGTTCACTCATAATTTTGTTTGTAATTTACTTCGATATTACACTATGTTCTTTTGTAGCCTTCTAATTAAATAATATATGCTATGTAATCAAGCACTAATGGCCATTTTTTGTTTTAAAAATAAAAGATGTTGAGTATACAATATAAAACAGTGCATAAAACTTTTGTAAGGTGGCTTCTAACTTTTTGCCGGTCAGGTATACGCTTTTAATATTTTCTTATTTGGCAGCAACCAAATAATAAGGAAACGACTAATTCAATTTTTTGTTTTTTTTTTTTGAAGGCAAAACAACAATAGGGCAACTTTTAGCATCTAAGCTGAATGGAGTCAAAGTGCATTCTCCTTCATACAGTATTTACGCCTTAAAACCGTTATTTCAGGGGGATCACCTTAGAGAGTCTGCCTATAACGCTATGTGTCACTACATCACCGCGCTTGAGGTACAAGTTTTTCTAAAATCATCACCAGTTGTCTTGGACAGGTAAATATTGCTTGTTGCTTTGAGTACGTACAATTTGAAAAAGTAAAGAAAATGAGTTTAGTGTTCAGCATGTCTGCTTGTATATTTTTAACATACATATTTATCAAAGTTTAGTAATAATATTCCTATATTCTGTTTTATTTAAATTGAACTATTCTGCTTTGAATTTGGATAGAACGTCTGGGATATAAATTGGTATAGTAAGCTAGGTGTAGTACAGGTAAAATAATAACTATTGTAACAGAACGTTTAAAGGAACAAAATATTTTGTTGATCAAAAATATCGTTATTTTAAACAGGTATTATTCAACAAGCGAGAGCTGGCGGGTCGCGCGTAGAACAAATTGAAAAGTGGAAGGGATTGCTCATTTCTATTGCAGTCGGCTAGGAGTTCACATCATGTAATTAGTGCTAGATTTCTGACAGTGTTGTCAAGTATTTACATTTTTATTTGGAGTTGCCCTATATTATAAACTAATATTTATATTTATTAAAATGACAAGTGTATTAAAAGGCAAACCTTTGGGATCTCAAGCACGAGCAATAATTTTCAATGTTATAACCATATTCATTTAACAGAAAAGTTGCGATCAACAAAAACATGCACAGAACACGCGAAACCTGATGTTTATATAATTGTACAGGGTTGTATTAGAATTCTAGCAGTCTATACATCTGAATTTGAAATGAATTAATTTATAATTATTTTTAGGATTACTGTTAAAATAATAGTAATCAATGATTAATCTTCCAAAAAAGTATATTTAGTTTTTATAAACTGTCATTCACACATCATTAGTTAATTGTGGTATTAATCAAAAGTCAAAAAATAGAAAGTTTTTTTTATACATTTTACGCTTTAACACCAATATTTGGAAATAAGTAATAATATTATCATTAATGATATATAAAGAGACGTCTTCTTGTGTAAAAGTTAGGGAAAATACTTCTTCTTCTTCTTCTCGTGCCACTCCTAGCGGAGATTGGAAATCATCATGGCCACTGCGACTTTGTTAGCAGCGCGCCTGAAAAGTTCACACTTCTTTTGCCCTTAATTTTGCCCTGCATGATGTTTCTTAAAAGTTCGTACTTTTCACCTCTCACAATGTGCCCTAAGTATTCCATCTTTCTAGTTTTTATCTCATTTAGAATTTCGCATCTTTTGTCTAAAGTTTGGAGTACTTGCGTGTTAGTGACGCGGTCCATCCATGATATTCTGAGAATGCGCCTATAGCACCACATCTCGAAAGCTTCGATGTTTTTTATGGTCAACTGTTTTAGTGTCCAAGCCTCAACTCCATATAACAGGGTAGAAAAGACAACACCGCAGCATTCGTATTCGTAACTTTATATTGATATCACGATTGCAAAAGAGTTTGCGCATTCTATTAAAGACTGATCTAGCGATTTCTATTCTACATCTAATCTCTTTTGTTTGATCAATATCGTATGTGATCCAAGCACCTAGATATTTATAACAGGTATTTATAACAGGAAAATACTTATACATATATTATTGGGTGGATAGACTTTACGTTAACATTATTAAATAAAATTTATTAAGTCGACGTTTCGATTTTGATTTAACATTTATTTGTGTCAGCAGAAACGAATGTATATTTAGAAGAATTGTATCGTCATTATTTTTGACTTTGATGCCGGTTATGTTGAAGATGGCTCGAAATATCAAAATGCCGTTTTCAGATTTTGACACACACACACACAATCACGCTAAGCGATCAACCCTACCCCTAGGAACATGTGTATACCAATATAAGAATGGGATCCACATGTCCGAAGATCAAACCGGTCACACTTCACTAGTTGAAGTGGTACCTATCTGACCCCCAGGCTTTTCCTCCACCCCTCCTCATCGTACGACTGACGTGAGGAGGCTATGATCTGAAAGTTACCTGAGATGCCCTGGGTAATGAGACATCTCCTGTTTTTAATGACTGTGGTTATGCCACCTAACTGTAGGGGTAGCCACATCTAGGCTTTTCTCCCTAATTACTTTACTGACTCTATTGATTTTACTCGGACTGCACTTCGGGACTGAAGTCCCTAACATAAAAAGAATAAAAATAGCGTGTGTGTTCCGTCCATGAAGTCGACAGCCTGGGCTGTCGACTTCATGTCCGGAAAGATATGTGTGTGCTCGGTCACTCAGCCGCCGATTTGGCAAAATAAATTTTGTTCTCCTCGCCGGCTGGGCACCCGAGAGGGTCCGGCCACCAAGCTCATGTTTGCCGCACATGGTCTCAGTGCTCGGGAGTCGCGAAAGGATCAGTATTCATTTGATCCGCCTTAAGGGCCAATTCCGCATCAGCGGTATATAGAAGGCCTGGCGGGTTTTTTTTTGTGGGGTTTTGGGGGGTCTTCCTTGGCGATGGAACAATAAAATGCCTGCACAATTCTTATCCTTTTATTCTTACATGCTAAATATGTGTGCGGTGTGGTGGGGTGTGCATTGCAGGGTGTATATGGCCTCCACACACCCCGGTGTATATTGTCCTTAACTAAGTGCCTTGGCACCTGTACCCTCTCGCCAGAGTCCTAAAAATAAGATTTTTTTTGGGGGTTGTTTTTCTGATGACTGCATTTTTTTTATTCGACGTTTTTGCGACCATCTCATTCTTCATTTATTAGTTTGGGACCCTATATCCGGCTATTTGCTGTTTAGGTCTTCTGTGTAGTGTCCTGGTGTTTGCATTGTAATTAGTCAGCTCTCTTAGCATGCTACTTGGGTGGTTATTTAATCCGTTAAAAAGTTCATATGCCTTTTTATCCATTGTATGTAGGATCCTTGTTTGTCCTGAGTCTCTGTATAAATTTCTCAGAGGTACATATCTCGGTAGATTTAGAGCATCTCTTATCAATTGATTTTGAGCTGTCTGTATCTTTTTCCTGTTTGTTTTACAGGTGTGTCCCCATGCTGCGGAGGCATATGATAGGACTGGCAGGATAATACTATTAGCTATTCTGATTTTAGTTTTAAATCTTAGCTTGCTTCTTCTGCCGATAAGCGTTGAGAGCTGACTTTTCAGCGCTTTGGCTCTGTACGTTTGTTGGTTGATGTGCTGCGTAAAGGTGAGTTTTTTGTCTAGTAACACCCCTAGGTATTTGGCCTCATTTGTCCACTCTACTGGGGTGTTTCCGATCATTAATTCGCGGTTAGGTACACTTCTTCTGTGACTAAACATTACAGCCTGTGTTTTGTCCGGGTTTAAGGCGATTTTCCATTTGATGCACCATCTTTCGAATCTACTTAGTGCTCTCTGCAGATGATTAGCTGCATGATCTGGATTCCTCCAGCTAACAGCTATTGCTGTGTCGTCAGCGTAAAGACTCAACAGGGATCCTGGTTCTTTTGGCGTGTCGGCCGTATAGATGGTATACAGGTAAGGCGACAGCACAGCTCCCTGAGGCACACCTGCTTCCAGGATTCCGACTTCGGACAGGGTTGCCCCTGTTCGAACCCTGAACCTTCTGTTGGCTAGGTATGATCCAAGGAGGCATGTCATCGCCTCGCTGTACCCCATGGTGTTCATTTTATATATAAGTCCTTCGTGCCAGACCCTGTCAAATGCTTTACTGACGTCCAGAAATGCTGTTGCCGTGTACATTTTTTCGTTGAAGCCTTTCGTTGCAAATTCTGTGAACCGTAGAACTTGTAGTTCACACGAATGTTCGCTTCTGAATCCGAATTGCGCTTCAGGTATGGTGCCTAATGCTTCTGATTCATCGTTGAGTCTTTTTAGTATGACTCTTTCTGCTATCTTGCTTATTGATGATAATAAGCTGATATGTCTATAATTTTGCGGAAAAGCGCCGTCTTTCCCTGGTTTCTTTATCATAATTATGTGTGCCTCTTTCCATCTATCCGGAAAATATCGTAGTTTAAGCATGTTGTTAATGATGTTTGTTATGTAGACAATAGCTTTGTTGGGTAGATTTTTCAGTGCCCTGTTTGTGATATTATCAGGACCTGGGGCTCCTGCTTTAACTCATGCTTATACACGTTTACAATTATTTCTTTAACGTCTTCGCTTAAATGGCCTTTTTTCGATCTTTTTTTTGGGGGGGAGTTAAAGGTATGTTCACGAGTTCATCGGCAGAATCCGTGTCGACCCATCGACATATTAATTTGTTTTAGTGACTGTATATACAAACCTGCAAAATATTATTTACATGCTAATATTCTAATAAAATAATAGATAATAGATAATTGAACAGATATATTAAAAAGGTCAATAGTCACTATCATTATCTTTATTTTCAATGTGTTACAGAAGCGACCAATTTCGAGGCTTACAATATTTGCCTCATCCTCAGGCAAAGCAAAGAGTTTGTTTTGTTAGAAAACAATAATATAGATATCGACAATAAGAAGTTTTCCGCTTACATCCAGAGTACTGTCTGTCTTCATCTTTTCCTTTATGACACTATCTATTGTACTAAGGTGATATGTTGATCATTATATATGTTGTAAATAAAAGGCTCTTGGGAATATGGTTGAGCATTAATGTGTTCTAACTGTGTAACTGTTGCTAAAGGTTGTTGTCTTTGATCCTTAAAATACTTTTTGGGTGTTCTAGTTTTTGTTGTCAAAGTTTTTTTATTATTAAAAAGGTAGGATTATCTTCTGGTTTGTAATAAAATTAAAAGTAGTTAAACACAAATACACATACAGTATAAGCTGCCGCATCCGGACTGCATATATTTTAAAAACTTGTGGAAGATGGAAAATCACATATTATGCAGTAGGATGTCCTTTTTTTTTGTTGTTTTTGTCACAGATTCTTACAAGGTAAAGACCTAAAGGTCTTTACCTTTTAAGACCTTTTATTTGCATACATATATAATGATCAACATATCACCTCACTACAATGATGGTGTCATGAAAACATGAAGACAGACAGTACCCTGGATGTAAGCGGAAAACTTCTTATTGGCGATATATATATATATATATATATATATATATATATAATATATAT